CCTAAACCCTAAAACCTTAACCAGCATCCCAGGGTTGAATATCAACTGCTCAGCCTCATCCAGTGGGAGTTTGCCTACGAGAAATGGTCGCCAAAGCCACATCTCGAATTGAGATCGAAAAGAGCCTTTGCTGCTGGGGGGGGAGTTTAGGTTTAGGGTAAAGGGGTTTAGGGTTTAGTGGTTTAGGGTTTACAGCCTTTGCTGCTTGAGGGATTGTGGTTTTGGAATGTTAGGGACTTGGGGCGTTAGGAACCTACACGTCTCAGCTTTGTCCCAAAACCTTGTAGGCTCGATCCTCAAATTTTGGATCCGGAACCCCGAGTTTACAAAGCACTCCATGTCAATTGTGCTGCTTAGCATCCGACGAGGAGCGATTGACATTCTGTTCCAGAATCCTGCGTGGAAACCTGCAGAGCCAGCATCTCTGAAGCAACAAGATATACTGTGTCCCTGTTCGGTTCTGATGTGCTCAAAGAAAGACTTGAAGATACCAGCTCATTGCATGCTTGCTTTGCTACCCAAAGCGCGCTTTCAGTTCATTTTTCTCATATCGTGACATCACAGCAAAAGCTCGTAAGCTTGTTGCGGCCCTGAACTAAGCCCTAAACTCCACAGCTACACCTTAAACCCTGAACCATGTGCCCTAAACCGTGTCATTGTGTTTGGAGTGGAGCATCTCAGGGAAGCCACACAAGCAAGGAGCATGCAAGGAGTGGCGAATGATCAGCGCTTAGGGTTGAAGAGTGGGGTGTTTGCATTGAATGTGTAAGAGTAAGCCCGGCTGGATCCTGAATTATTATTAGGGTGTGCTTCCCGAGTGCTGGGTCGGAGGTTTTCAATTTAGTTGGTTAGGGAGTTTGAGATTGAGATTGTTCGGGGATTGTGGTGGCTGTGGTTTGTAGGGAAGCGCATCGATCTCTCCGGAAGTCTGTAGCTGTGTAGACCAAGCAATCTTTGTAATCGAGATGCCCTCAACATGAGAGTTGTTGTGCCGATGAGGCGACATTGCAAGGTGCAGATTCCCATACTCTTGATCTCATCGTCAGGAGACTCTTTGATCCCAAGCCTGCCCACTGCTGATAGAAAAAGGACTCCTTGTTCCAGGAGCTCCCCATTATAGCGCGTTGCTGGATGTGTTCGGAATGTGCTGAGCAGCACTCCTTGCGGCATTCACCCGTAAATATCTTGGCTCATGCTTGAAATTCATGGGTTCACTAACCATTCGCATTCCAACGCACCCTCCGAAGAAGACCCAAATAAGCCTCTAGCATCAACCCGGCTTTGGCCTTCGCTTCTTTCCGTGGGGGTGCTGCGGTGGGGGTCTTGAAGTCTGGCAAGACCCTTTGCAAAGACATTGTCTGAGATTACACTGCAGCCTGAATGCCTACCAGCGATTTTCCATTGCACTACTCATATGAGCTATGGTCTAAACTCCTCCAAAAAGCGGTTATACAGAGGTTTATACAGGGGACTACTCTAGGGGGTATTAGGAGGGATACTTTAGATTATAGCTCATATGACAAAACCCACTTGTTGTGCTTCAAATTTCAAGCGCGAATCCTGAACCACCGAAACCCTGAATCCTATTCTGAGGCAGAGACCTCCACCCCTAAACCCTACAAATCTTAAGAACTCTGCCGCAGGGCTATGGTTACTACAAGCGCGCTGAGATTCTACGTGGTTGTCGCTGCGGAGTATGACATCCCGGATCTGGATCCTATGATGCTGGATGCCACAATCGCCGTAGCAATCAAGCAATACATGAAAGGCTACTTGGCCTTTCCCAGAGTAAGGGTTTCGCTTTAGACCATGTCAGCCCCAAGAACGAGTGGCGATGTTGTTATTTCCATCTGGTTTGATCAGATACGCAGCCATCTAGCCCAAGGCCCGAGTCTCCTCAATCGCAATGGTTAACGACCCCAAGCAATCTTCAAATACTGGCTTTTCGCGAGGGATGCGTCGGATTAGGCTTCATGCTCACAGTCTTACGAACGTAAGACTTGAAGCCTTGATCCGTCCCTGACACGCCACATGCTAAGGGACGCCCAACTTCGCCAAAGTTCTACGAAAGAAGTGGCGTCAGCAACCTACGCCCTCCTAGTCCTAGTTGAGCACTTCCCTATATCCCAGACCTAACTCAGTTTGCAACCCATTGCCTCAAACCTTTCAGTTAGTTGAAATCCCTCAACTTTCTGCGCCCCAAGCACCAAATTCCTCAACTCCAAGCCCAAAGCCCGACTCTGGGGTGTCAGCTGCATTGAGCCCCAAGGTGTGAAATTGTCAGAGCCGCAGCCGCAGTGGATCTTAGGTTTCAGGGTCTGATATCAGGTATACGGTTTAGGGTTTGGCGGGTTTAGGGTCTAGGGCTTCTCGGAGGAATGATTTTGGAGAGGCCAGCCCAAACACGGATCTTCCGGGGTATTTGTGGAATGTTGCCTGAAGTGTTTGGGTGAAGGCAAGTGAGGATCAAAAGCATGCATGTGGACTGAGATCAGTCTTGCAGTAGTGTCCTTACGCGGATCAGACTAAGAGGTTTCCAGGCCCCCAAACTCTTTTCTTGGGTCCCAGCTGACATTATGCGTGAGGCACGCTTACTGACGGGCCGCCGCACTTCGTTAGTGTGCTGTGGCATCTGAGCCGCTGGTGACTTCTTGGTGACTGTTGTAAGGAGCATGCAGGCGTGTTTGTAGGGCGTTTGGTTCACCAACCCATATGAGAGGCCTTTACTTCTTATTCTTTAGGAGCATCCGAAGATTCGGATGTGCCATCAGTGTCTCAGGAAGGAAATGCTTGCTTCATCATGGCTTGAGTTTTTCCTTGAAGCATTCTGCCTCTGTCTGGACCCCGGGGCTGCCAGGAATCGCGAAACAACCCGGACTGCAACGAATCTCTACTTAAATCGTAAGGCCCAATCCATCAACACAACAGCCCCTTACGGCAAACACCAACCGCCCCAGTACAAAATGCAACGCAATTCCTATGTTTATATAAATAAATAAATGTAAATATATATATATACCACTTCGACATCAACCCGTCGACGAGGAGAACCGCGTGCTTCCGAACCCATTCGAGCTTGTGGCTCCTCGACATGACTGGCAGCTTCCGAGGGCTTAGGGCTTCTTAGGCGTGAGGTGTCAGGGCTGGGGTTGTAAAGGGCAAAATGTATAAGCATTGCAATTGCAATTATTGACCCATTATTGTCCATCGCGCGGCAAGACTGACCATGTGATGAGGGCGTGTTGAGGCTGGACATTCTCATGCGCACAGGGGTTCACAGAATCTTCAAGCCCCCTGGAGATCATCATGACAGGGATCCCGGAGGGGACTGGAACTAGCAGCGACAATCTTGTACATGTTCGAGGAAAAGTGGTTTGAGGCTCTTGTGATCTCGCGTCAACAAGTCTTTTGATTCTTTTAGCCTGATGGAACCGCGAACGTAAATCCCTACACCCTAAACACCGAGCCCCAAACCCCAAAACGTAAGCCTTAAGCCCAATGCCCCAAACCCAAAACCCTAAAGCCTACAGCCCCAAAGCTGACCCAAGAGGTCTCAATCAGATGCAGGGGCCCTCAGTGAAAAGTCGTGTCAAAAAGGTGCCAGAATTTTTCTTGTTTCTGGCATGTGCTTGCGTGCCCATCCTCTTGTGAACCACGAACGCAAAGCCCATACTGTGCAGTAAGGGAGCGCAGAAGATCACCCCAAATGAGCCAAGATATTCCATGACTCAAAAGTTTTGGAGTATAGCTGGGAAGTATTCGTTCTTCACGCAAATCCTCTTTTGAGGTTGCTGCAACCTTTCCGGATGCAATATTCGACACCTCCTGCAGCACATCGCCGCCCCTGCGTCCGAGTGCGATTTCAACTGCCGTCGACACCTCTGGTGCTGTGAACTCTTTAGAGTCCCCAAACACCGCTGAAGGCCAGCTACCTTTCTGAAAGCTGCTATCAAGATTACGGATAGCAGAATCTTAATGGTAGACGTAGGGTGGTCATGGTGAACCAGCACTATTTCAATGTTTGCTTGCTCACAGAACCAGATATCATCACGCTGTAGAAGCCGTAGGGACTATGGCCCTTGTGTACATGCGGGTAGCGAGAGTGGGTTTGTAGTTTAGTCTCTAAGCTAGGGTACAGGGGCTAGAGGAAGTCATTCCCTCGAACAAGTACCCAAATGAGAGAAGTTCAGGGCAAGTCGATAAAGCAGTGAATTTGCGCAATCATCTCCAGTTGTAGCTCTGACATACCACAGTATGGCATACCTCCAAGCCCAACCGCTGGTACTACGATTTCGGCCCCTTACGGGAAAAAATGAAGGCAGTACCAGGGACTTTTGAGGCCATGGTGATGCCTCTATTTCAAAGGATTGCGGGAGTCACCTCTCTATAGAGAGTATATGGGCATGGATTGGAGAGCAGCTTCTACAGGGACAAGGTATAGACGTTTACATCCTTCAGTGCGGCACTTTGCAGCGTGGTTGCAAACCTGAGTGTCTGGGTTTTAGGCGAAGTGTGGGTTCGAGGCAATGTCATGTGTAGCTAAAGTTTGGGTCCGTCAGGTTCTGTTGGTGCAAATTCCGGATGTGTAGGCTTCTGGACTTGCAAATTCGACACGTCAAGTGCTTTCAAGGACCCCGAGTCCAAAAGGGCCTTGACCGAATAAGAAAAACAAACGTCAACCCACGTCAGAACGAATATTTGGCTAACGCTGAACCAGAACCGCGTCATAGAAGAGGGCTCCAACCACTAAACCCCAAAGCCGAGCGTCTTTTTGCTTTTCCCCAGGCTGAACCCTGAATTTTCCAAACCTGCGAATCAAGGTACCAAGATTTGAGGTCCTTCTGAAATCAATAGCGTGTGGAAACTCTGAGACCAAATCAGCTTTACACTGTTAGGACCGCAGTGCCATTAGACCACCTGAACTACAGATGTAAGATTTGTACGTCTTCAAGTTTCATATTCTTCGTATCTTTGCAGCTATGTGTACACACATGAGGCCATGCCCCATACCCATACCCTCTTGCACATCCGCTGCTATCCCTAGTGGTCCCCAGACTTGGAGGCTCATAGGACTTGGACACTACTTGTGCCTCTGGTTGTATCCCGACTATTGCTGCCTTGACCTGCCTTGTGAAGATTATCCCAACAAGGAGTAGGTTGCTAAGTCTCGCGGGGTTTTGAGTATATCTCCTACATATAGATATATACACATGTCTACATAAATACCTATCCCTTCCTGTCTGAAGCCTGAAGCCCTACTCTCGAAATTGTAAAGCGAAACTTGAAAACCCGAAGCCCTTGAGGAGCTGCAATTCTTCGTCTTCCAGTCTGTCTTTCACATGAGCCCTGATCCCAAATCCGTCACCCCAAGCCCTCATCTTCATCCCCAAAACGTAAAACCTTCAGCCCTGAACCCTACACCTTGAATGCCTATTACAGAAATCCAAAACCCTAAACTATATATCCCAGACCCTAAGCAGGCAACCGGACTCCTGGCGACACCTGCGAGAGCCCAGGGGCTGCTGGAAGTCAAAGCAAGGCACCTTGCTTGTAGAAGTGATCTTTACGTGGGTTTGCAGTTTTGGGGTCTGGGATTTGGGTTTGGGGCGGTTGGGTTTTGGAATGTGGTTAGGATCTAATCTTACGCAACTCTCCTCGAAAAATGGTCCTCCAAACTGCTCAGGTAGGGCGGCCGCGGCTCGTCCTTAATTCAGGGAGAGCCTTGGACTTGATTTGCGTATCGTTTGGGATGATGTTGTTATGAGATTCTTCGTAGAACAGTAGACGTGACTTGGGCGTGGGGGGAACACTTTGTTGGGATGGTTTCTTTGGGCCTCCAATTTTTGCCCGGCTTAAATGATGGAAAGCGAAGCCCTATTTTTCGCGAAGCCCTACACTTCGCACATCTCTCAACAACAGGAAGACCGAAGCTTTCGAAGTTCCGAAAGACCGTAAAACAAAGAAGGCCAAGTGCGCAAGACAACAATCCTGTTGAAACGATTCCGCCATAGATTCGCAGCCGTACGTGCCTGGAAGAGCTTTGTCTTTCATGTACGTAACGACGAACTGGCTTCTTTGCAGGGGCGCTGATTGTATTCCTATTATTTCCATTAGTTTCGTTCTTATTGTTATGATTTCTGCTATTGACATTACTACTGCTATTACTGGGGCATCATGGAGCTTTAGGTTCAGGAGTTTTGGGTGGCTCCAAGAACAATCTGAGGCGTTGCTAGTTGCGAGTAGAAAAAGGCACCCCACCAAAGATTGCCATCATTGTTCCCGTGACGGTCTAGTGCAATTCCACTTATCCTTTTTGCGTGCACAGGGACTTTATTTTAGTTCTTGAATGAAGTTTACTTGCAATTCATGCATCTTGGGAACTAAGTTCATGCAGGGGCAGTAGTTCCTTATGTTTCCCATGTTTCCCCAAAGCACTAATCCCTTAAGCCCTTAATTCCCGGAGTAAGGAAAGCGGGAGAGACCAGATACGAGCCGAGATGAACTGGAAGCTAAGCAGCTGGAAGCTAAGCAACTGGAAGCTAACCGCTTGAAGACCCAGGAGGTGGGAGTTAGAGTGGTTTGGATTTTAGAGGTCCAGGATTTGCAGTTTTTTGGGGTTTAGGGTTCGGTTGGTTGTAGAGATTATTCAATGAATTAAAGGTTTGGGGCTAGGAGCTTATGATTCTTTTTCCTGTTGGGGTCCTGATCACTCGTCAGAAGCAAGCAAGTAGATGCGATGTCAAATTTTACTGCATGTCAATGGGCCGTAGGCGGGGAATTGTTGATATGGCTTCACTAGTTGCTCGGTTTGAGGTTTCCGTTGGCCGGAACTTCTCACATGTTTGCGAGAGATGAGAGATGAGAGGATATCGTGCGACTATGTCAGGATCGTGTACGACTTTGTGTGAGCTATGCAGATCCCTTTTTTAAAAATGTTTGTTCTTTTTCCTGGGTTTCTGCTTCAACACAGCATTTTTAGCCAGCTGCAAGTGGAACTTGTACCCAAAACACCCAGCAGCCGTGTGCTACGAGGTGCTTGACAAGGTCAAGGCAAAGGCCCAGATTGTGATGGACGCTTACTTGGCCAAAAGTAGCACTTTATCTTATTTGGCAGTTGTTTTGCTCTTTGGGGTGCATTGCAAAGGGTTTATGGTTCCTCCAAAGTTCTACTTAGCTCCTGGCTTTATCAAACCGCGTCTTAGACATAACCATGTATTTATCGTCCAAGCTTACGCTACAGTCTTACTGCACCCCAAACCCCACACTCTGTGCCCTGGACACCGAGCCCTAGGGTGTAAGCATTGAAGCACGCAGCCTAAGCACCAAACCTCAGATTCCCAAACCTTGAATGGTTGCTCCTCAACACGAGGTTCCCGTGTCTGCACCCAACAATGACATTTTTTACGGGGCTCACCCAGCAAATCCACCAATCCATCATGCATATATACAATCTAGGGAACCCAAGCCCTCAAGCACATGTTAGGAATCGGTCCGGGGGAGACACGCACGCAACAACGTGGAATGACCTTTGCTGCGGCTGTCAGAAAAAGATGCCTTCTGCAAATGACATCTGATGTAATAAGATAACCAATCCTATGCTATTATTTCCACGACCGCGCCTTCTCATACATTAAGTGTGGAAGGCAATTAAGTGATCCGCATGTTTACCAAAGGCTCAACACTCAAAACTCCAAGCTCTAACCCCTAAACCCTAAACCCTGCAAGAAGCCTTGGACACTGAACCCCAAGCCCCAATCACTCACCCCTACGCAATGGAACGCCAAGCCCATACCCCTTGAATCCCAAGCTTCGGCCGCGCAGGGTATTTTCTGGCTCAAGGCTCTTTTCCGGTAAGCACCTCTCCGGCTCGAATCCACAAACTTCGCCAAACATGACGGAGGCTGAGGCCTGGAGGGGGGTTTAGGGTTTAGGGTTTAGGGGTTTAGGGTTTAGGGTTAAGGGTTCAGGGGATGAAGGGCTTACAAATTTAGAATAGGGGTACGCTTTACTCTCTTTGTTTAAGGTAGGGCTGGCAGGATTGAAGGTTGACGGGCTTAGATTTCACGGTTTATTACAAGCTTCGGTAGCTTGAGGAGCAGCCCAATTAAACAACGAGAAAAGTTTGTCGGTAGTCTAGCCATTTTGTGGTAAAAAAGCCACTCGCCCACTCCGACTTTTCTGCACCTTGTACCAAAAATGCTTTAGTATAAGAATGGAGAGTATCCGGCAAAAGGTGTTGGGGGTGTTCTGAAACACGGAAAGAGATTAGGCTGCCAAGTTCTCACTGCTGAGCATTCCCAGTATTCCTATTGTTGGGCATGTCGATCCTGATAGCTTCTCTTGTTGCTGCAAGATGCAGAGGCCCGCTTGCAATCCTGCTTTCTCTTAACACAATGTTGTAGAGCTTCACGTCTGGCTCTAACTTGAATCCTGAACAAAGCGGGATTGCACCTAGGCAGTCTACCGAGACCAGTCTGGCTACATCCGGAGCTCTTCCATGAAGGACTTGGCTTCATGAGGTTCAGGGTTAGGGAAAAGTTTGGGGCTGGGCTTGCGATGGACAGTTGGACCGCGATATTGAGCACTTCGTTCGCTCCGAGCGTCATGATGGATGTGTCCGGACTCACGCCTCAAGGTCTTGGGTGGGCTTCTGCTTTGATTTCAGTCCAGCTGTTGCAGTTGTTGGGACTATCCGTAACTGAGTTGCCGCATTGACCGGAAAGGCAAGAACAATAACACGATCTGGTGACACTAGTAGTTTTAACAGTTTTGCTGGTGGTATTGGCAGCAATAGTCACTCCAGTATGCATACTTGCGGCAGGGCTGTGCGTTGTAATCTTGGTAGCGCACCCCTCAGCTTTTTGCTTGGTCCTTTGTTTAGCCAGAGCTAGAGTCTCGGTCTTTTAAACAGGTCTTATGCTCTGGCTTCCTCTCAGACCTCAGGCGTGTTAGAGCAACGGGTCATAACCAGCCAGAACTGTACAAGTTGCGCACTCCTACGTGCCAAAAGTCCCAGACAGCCCCTCCCATATCCATCCTGCGTCGAATCTCTCAGGCTTGGCCGTAAGTCAACAGTCTTTCTCGATTGCATCATGCTTGTCTGAGTGACTCATGAAGACGGGCCAATGTCATGACAATACCGCTGACGACCCTGCAAGTAAACACAATTGAGGAGCCAAACTACGTTTTGCAAGTTTCTCCCATATCTGAGCCCTTGAAGGCAGACCCCCTACAACCCTCTTGTGAATCCCGTTGCGCACAGCAGGATCTTGGCCCATTGGAATTCACTGGTAAGATTGGTGGGGGAAGCTTGGCTGTAAATTTGATCATCAATTGGGATTGGGAAGGCGGGATTCTGGTTTGGAGTTTGGGGTAGCTGCCTTCGCGTTGATTTGAAGTGTGTGCCGGGGCCGCAGTGTTTCGAGAGAGTCTGAGGTGTCAGCCTTAGGCATTCAGTCGCCACCCAAGACCCTTGCGGTCAGAAACACTTTCCCTTCAGTGTAGCTGGGTGTCCCGTGCAAAGCAGCCCTTACTTTCTCCAGTGGGTTGGAGATTTACTTGTGGCTTCCTGTATTCCAGCAATTTCAAGACTTTCTCATCGTACTCTTCCCGAAAAAGCCGCCCCATTTTCGAGCCTCTTCTTGTTGAGCGGTTGTGAGGGCCCCGGACCCAGCATGGGACTTTTCAAAAATGTTGGGGAATGCCAAGATAACGTAAATTCCTTCCTGAATCCTTGGATTGCCCAGTCTGCAAATCCAGGCTCCCAAGGCAACTTCGGCCTTAAGAGCAGGGACAGCATGCTAAGCATGGCGATCATGGTGGCATTCTCGCGTCCTGAGTGGCCATGACCGCCAGTGTGCCTTGTGCTCATATGTTTGTTTTCCAGTATAGCTCTTCTTGTGATTTGCTTCTTGTGTCACCCTCTCTCGCAACCGGTTTGCAGTACAACCGTGGAGCCGAAGACAAAACCCTAGGCCCACACCAATTCCTGGGCCCAGCATGAACAAGTCGTACACGGTAACCCCCTATCGCAAACCTAAAGCCCTTGTGCAGGTAGCAAGAGGGCCCATGCACTTTCCACCCGACCCCCTTACCTCCCCAAACTAGGACTCTAAAAGCTCGAGGGCCTGAAACCTTGAAACCCCAAAAGCGGCCCAAACCCCTAGCCCTTGAGCTCATATCCCCCCAGATCTCTACGCCCCAAACCCAAAGCGGTGCAAGGCCTCCGCCTGGACCTGCGGAGGCGGGCGCCACTTTATGGCAGCGACTGGACGGATGCGTTCCTTGGGTTTTGGAAAGCTGTTGTACTAGAGTTCTTGGAGCTGCCCCCCAAAATCGGCCAGAGGGCTTACCATAAGTGTAATTGTGCCAGAGTTCCTTGCATCTAAGGATGAGCCGCATAATGAGCCGCATAAAGAGGTAGCATGATTAGCTGCAATGCAAGGTAAGGCGAGAGTGTGTGGGTAGGGGCGATATATACAAAATGCTTTGGCTGGGGATTGGTTATTGGGGTGTGCGGGCTCCTGTGCGAGGAGCAGATTCTTTCCTGCTAGATGCTTTGGGGTGTTTGAATCCCAGCTGCTGTCACTAACATATCCAGAAAGCTCGAGAAGGTTTTGGGATGTCGGGGTTTTAGCATGAAACCTTGGGATAAAATTCCTACCGCCCGTAGCAGTCCTCTAAATAGTATATCTGTAGTGGTATCATCAGAGTCGCGTATAGAAATATTCTTTGGTGGGAGTATTATCCAAGCCGATTATGTTGTATCAGGGAACCAATTTTAAGATAATATCGGAGGCCTTTTAACGTACCATTAAGTCATTCTTTCTTTCGCTGCTTGTCAGTTGGGGCCCAGGTTCAGGCCCGAGTGCCTTTGGCAGCACATGGGAGTTTCTTGGATTTGTGGGTCCCTTTCCTAGGACCTTGGGGGTTTGGATATGGAAATACTGAATTTGGTACATGTTGCATGGTGGTTTCAGGGTTTGTAGGTTTCGGGTCTTGCCATCCAGAGGTTTGCCCCTTAGCGTGTGAACAACTGAATACAGGATACGATGGTCAGTTTTGAGAAAGCTTCCAAAATCTATGAAGCAGCCTTCTTAGTGGCCAGCAGTGCCTTCAGCAATGAAACCAAACCTCAAATCGGGCAAGATCTTCATGAGAGTGAACTTTGAGTCATATAAGCTGTGTTTAAACATGGCGGCGGTCCCACATTCTGGAACGTAGGTTTCGCAGCAGCATAGCGAGTCCTAAAACCGCGGTGAGAGCACTGATTAAATCATAGTCTGCAGGGTGTGACGTTTAGCATTGAAGGGATGAATTTGCAAATTCAAGCCTGGCAATGGGGAGTCTTGGCGATCGGGTGCTAGTCCATCAGGCAAAGCGCAAGGTTCGGGAGGTTTCATGTTTAGGGCCTGGCACGCGCGGCGTAAGAGCGTTCGCAGCAAGCGCACCTTTGGACAACAAGGAAGCTGACAAGAAAGCTACCATTTTGGAAACTTACAAATTCTTTCTGACGTCGGTTTTCCACAATAATTGTAAAGGAAATGGAAACTACTATGTTAGCTCGTGTTGGAATGGGGATGTTTGACTGGACATGTACGGCTTGGCACGGCCTTGAAGGACCAATTGAGGTTCCTGTGTCGATTTTTGAGCCATACTTCTTCAAGAGCGTTTCCCTCATCCTAAGCGGCGCATGGTTTAGCTTTATAATATTTCATCCTTGAAGCCTTAGCCTGTAGACATGGCGCTTCGTCGTTGGAACAAGAGGCCTTTGAACTTGTGACTCACATGCACAAGCTGTAGCAGACAATCCATTACTGATCGCGCAAGTGGTTTCATGATGCAAGGAACGCACAGAAGTCCATCTCCACGATCCTGTACTTGTTCGTAGCTGCACTGGCTCCTGCCATCACGCCGCTCGGACAGCTTGTGAGACGTGAGTGTTGGGTGCAGGCTTGATCTCTGAGCGGTCACATCCATGGAAGGCAAGTCTTTTCTGTTGATCTCGGCTGTGGTGAGCATACTTAGAAACAGGGTTGCGCAGGGATGTTGGTGAGTGCATACATTGGGTGTATTGTATTGTTGGGGATGCTACAGATTTCTCGAGAACGCAACGCTTTCAACAATGTCATCCTGACAGCTTGATGACCATCAATGTGGTAACGCCCTGACAACTCCCTAAACCCTAACTCTAAATAGAGCCTGAACCCCTAAAAAGTCCTAGAGTCTTTTACCGTGACCCAAAAGTTGGGAGACCAAGGTTCGGGAGCCGCTTCCTTGCCGGCACGAATGGCCAATTTGGGGTGCCGCGGCCGCTTCTTCCTTGGGCTCAGGGATTTGGGGATTAGTTTTCTGTTCATTGTCATTTGAAGAGTTTGCATGCAGCTTGTGAAGGGGCTGCCTGCCGACACAAAGGCTGCTGCTGCTGCTGCTGCCGCTGCTGGCATGGGTATTCTCATTGGTGCTTTTCCCGCATCCATCCTCCTACAACCGCTAGCGCTGCCATGCGGCAACTACAACTCATCAGTACATTTGCTGAAGCAACAAGGTGCTGGAAATGATCATGTCCACTGCCTTGAGCGGCATGCTCTTCTCCACGCCGCTGGACAACCGTTTTCATTCCTGGCACGGGCTGGGGGGCGGGAGACTAACTTATGTTCGGGTTCAGGGTTTCGGGTGTGAGGCATGGGATTTGTGTTCTAGGGTTCTGAGGTTGGAGTTTTCCTGGGGTTTGCGTCTTGGAGGTTTCTGGCTTCGCTGTTGAGGTTTCAAGATCCAAGAAATATGCATCTGGCGTTTTTAGTAGGCACCCTGTATTGAGGAGTCGTGTTTTGCGCTTGGAGTCTGGGCTCGTGATTTCTAAGGATTAGGTGGATTGGCTGCCTTTGATCAAAACGACAGAATGCTGGGAGTTCATGACTGATATGTCCCTACATTTGTCTACAAGTCCTTCCGCCAGCGACTTTCCCGACCAAAAGAGTTTCCTGATCATCCCTCCGGGTATCCCCAGTAGTCCTGCCTGTATACAGCTTTCCGCGATGTCTCCAAAACGATTCCGTCCGTGCAAAATCTATCAAACGGCATGCAGAGGCGTACCAGCTAGGTACAGGAGGCCGAATCCAAGATCAGTGGCAAGTTCTGGAGGGTATCCTTGACGAGAGCGTACTGCAGAAGCATGTTTGTAGCCTGCGGCAAGCTTTGCCTTCACAAAGCTTTCCGTTTCTCACGTGTTTCTTTACACGAAACAATCACATGGTACCCTTGAGGTGCAAAAGCTTTGGATTTGCTAGCCTGAGAAAGTCCTTCATCAATCAAGAACCTGGACCCTCGCGCTCGGCACGAGATGCAGACTCTCCTGGAGCACCTTCATCTTCAAACCGTATTACGACTACTCCATTCCTCATAGCCTTCCATGCACAACAAAAACCTTTCAGCAGCCTGGCCACACCCATGCCATTCCCAATTTTCAAGGCCTTCCACCTTGTTATCTCTTGCGCCCATCCTTGAAGACTGACTAAACCCCTACAAGAAACAACGTCCAATGATGAACCCGACCCAAGGTTTGCCGGGCAACCTCTATCAATCCTTGGTGCGACGGGTCCGTATCTTGCTTCCAGAAGTGCTGCTTTTGCGTCAAGGCGTAGCTTGCATTTTCTTATTGTCTGGAGGTCCATGGGCCGTTAGATTACGTGTAGAGATGGAATAGCTACAACTCTCGTGCAAAGAGTATTAACTCCACGTAGAGCTGTCCAAGATCCAAGAGCCTTCAAGCCCGCAACGAGGAACTGGACTACTATGCCAGCCTCTACATGACCGCGTAATTGAACCGTTGCTCCATTCCTCTGGTTCCCTATCCCAAGTCCAACATCCCAAATTAGACCTTGAACCTCAAACCTCAGAGCCCTGTGATCCATTCGCCGCCCCTCCGGGCTGAGCTTAGGGTTTAGATTTTTGGGTTCGTGCAGGAAGGCTTTTGGTGGCAATCATCATGACCATGCTGAAGCCACTTTGAGGGTCATATGGATGACAAGAACAGCAACCCTCATCACAGGTCTCATTCAGATTAACAAGAACATGCTTTCATGATACTTGCAGAGATTGAGGTGCTGTACAGCCATGCCAAAAAATTCTTCCATACATTGGATGCATCAGGTTCTATCTTCAGGATGGTTCCAGGTACCCATCCGGAATCAAAACAGGACATTTTCGATGGAGGGACAACGGAAACAGTGATTCTGCACCTGAAGCTTCGAGCCTTCAGACACCACCTAAACCCTCACATCAAGTCTCTACCCAAATCCGAAGTCCTAAAAACTATACAGCCTGAAGAAGAAATTAGACCCTAAGCTTGAGGTTTTTCATCCACGAATCCCAAGGGTTTAAAGAAGTGTCGTGCATTCTTTCAACCTGAAGTAGACCCCAAGAAGTTAGCTCCTTGATCCCCAGGTTCTTGGCGTACACACTTGTCTGCTATGATCTGGCTGTGGCTGCCGCTTGGGCTTTAGGATCTACCCCTGGTCCTGTCAGAATCCTGTTGCAGTGCTGCGTGTGGGTCTCGTTAAATGTGGGCCCTCTGGACAAGGGATACATGGGAATCATGCACGGGGTCCGGGGAGGGAAACACGTGAGGATATGAGCGTTACGTTAAGGCTTCTGGGTTATAGCCTATGTGCAGAAAGCACGTTGGGATAGCCATGTACTTTGCTTTCCAGGACTCTCTCGAGATAGACGCTAAAGGAGTTGGAATGTGCAGATTTCACCTTATTTGAAGGGTAACGTGCTCTACCTCTCTCCCCTTGTCTGGCTCATTTCTTTTAACATGTTTGGGCCACGGCTACTTCCAACCGCTTCTGGCGTGCAGGCCATTTGCTGGTGACCTGTGAGCCCTCCAAAACTTTCAGCCCCCATAATTTCGTGCACTGAGATGGATCTGGAGTTCATGCCGTACTACTTCTGGGTGTGCATGTGGTGCTCTCTGTTCACGATCTTGGTCGCTGTCTTCGACCTCTGCGCCCTGGTACTTAGAGCATGCTGAGCTGGATGAAGGGTTTCGGGTTAGGGTTTAAGCCTTGCGTGCCGCTTGGGAGTCTTCTTCTGCAATCGTTCATGCAACATGCTTCTGTAAAAACTGCGCTGGGAAGCTTGAGGCTCAAGATCGTGAAGCCTCAATATCCAAAGTCCAGCCACTTCACGCTGAAAAACAACCAAAGTTCGTAAACCCCTGCCCCTCTAAATCTTGCGGGTCATTGAAACGACCACGGACTCTGCGAACCTCAAAAATTAGGTGCCCTTATGAAGCACGTGACCATGTTCAGCGAGGCTGGAGATTCGGGTTTTGAGGGGTTGAGCAGAGCGTGGAGAGTCAGTCTACCGCAGGGATCTGCAAATTCGCAAGTTTCCTACTCTACTCTACTTATGCGCGGAGGGATCGCTCTGAGTCCGTCAGGCCTTGATGTTTGGGTTTTTTGGAGCCCTGCACATTGCGGCACAGTCATAGTGGTAGCAGGAAAAGTCTCTGAGCTTCTTATCACGGGGCTCCTTTTTGCAAAAATCCTCGTGCACCTATTTGATCTCTTTGTCGCATCCAAGATGTGAAGAGCCACGTTATGCATAGTTTAAGCTTCCCCTTTGCAGTTCCACGTCGGTTTGGAGGGCCATCGCTTGCCCATGCTGTTTTAATGTTGCCTGTGCAACGCCAAAATAGGCAGTCAATAGGCAGATATCAGTTGATACATTCCCATAGCCAGTGATCATGGAGCGTTTTTACTAATTGGGTTTGCTGAAAATACGCTTAATTAATCCTTAGCAGGTTTAGTAAACATAAACCCTAAACTCACTTCAAGGATTTGGTCCGAAAAAAGGTTGCGGCTTGGGCACCCAGAGTCATCTACTACCTACGTGCCGAGCTCCTATGTAGAAACAACAGCAATGCAGGAATACTCGTAAGAGATATCAATTACCCTAGGCTGAGCTACCCAAGGATGTCTCAAAATCATTTTTTTCGAGGTCCTTATCGTAATGGATTTCAGCTGGGGGGGGGATTATGAGCGGGTCAGAATCATGAGAGGAACCCACATTGACCTTCCAAGACCTTCAACCCCAACTCTAACGCTAAACCTCAAACCCTTCACGTAGAACCTTTCGTGGTCGCACCCTGCTGTTCCTCCACCAACAAAACCTGTTTAGGACTTTTCAGGGCACTGCTGTCAAGTGACAAACTCTACCAGTTGAGGATATCTTTGCTGGGCTAATTTCGCTCATCTTCATCATCGACGGAGTGCTGCCGATGTTGCGCAATTTCTGGGAGAATCTTGCATTTCCCATTAAGGTTGTATTCCGATGGCAGGCCCCTTCCTTTTGGGAACGCTTCTGCTGTAGCAGCTACTAAGAAGCATTTTTCAGCTTGTTGTCATTTGAGTAGTATTTTATTTAGGGATACTATGGTACCCATTGTAGAGAAAGATTATATCCTCCTTTTTGGTATAGTACTTTTGTATAAGGAATATAATCTTACTAGGTTCAACCACCAAAAAACACTACTCATTTGTGCTGGCTCTGGCTAGATTTCGATTGCTTATTCGTCTGCTCTCAGCTTGAGATGTACCTTGTTGGCTACACTGTGCCGGGGTTTTTCTCCTTTCAACTTTCCGGCAAGGCTGTTGGACTGACAGGTCTAGTTCTTGGCACCTGCGTTGTTCATGTTGGCTGTATTTTTTGGACCTTCCCAATGAGGTGGGAGCACGCTTGACATTCTGCAATCTGTCACGTATCCTTTCCTTGTTTCCTGCAGCATAGCACATGCTCAGAAGCGTTTAACGGTTGGTGAGTTGCAGATTAATCAGCAAGAATCTTTGATGTCCAATGACTCCTCTTGCCCCCGAACTCAACTCGCACCCCAAACAAGGGACAAGATGACTTTGGCGGCTGCAATGTTCGAGATGCTTCTCTTCCTGTACACCTTCGGATCCTCTGCCGAAGAGTGCAGGGCTGTGCTGATCATTGGCTCTTGCAACATCCAGGGCTAGCTCGTTGAATGTTCATTCCTCATTCCACCCTTGATTCAAAAAAGCCTCTGCGAGGTTTAAGGTCCACAATCGTCAGGAACGCAGAGCACTTCAGGGGTGGGGATTTTAACTCAAGACCTCATCCTTTATCTCTCAAGCCCTAATCCAACAATGCTACGGTCTAATCCGAAAATGCTACAGCCGCTTCAGCAACAAATCGGTGAGGATTATAAGTTCGATGAGCAGTATTGAACAACTTTATTCTGAAGTGCTAGCACTTCTAGCATCGAACCCTGACGTATGAGGCTAACTTTCCGGCGTTGGTTGGCATGTTGTGCTGGACATGAGCAGGGATGACTTACGTGCGTATGGCTGGCGGGCAGCATCTTGTAGCCCAGGCCTGGCCACCTACCTCTCCCACTTCCGCCGCACGCCCTGGCTCCTGCGATCCCTCCGCAATCTCATGGCCGCCCGGAGGGAGGGGTGAATCCGGGTTCAGGGAGCAAGGCTGCAGGTTGAGGGTCTAAGATTCAGGCTCGAGGCTTGATTTTTTGGCTTTGGACATCCAGGTCTAAGGTGTTGGGCCTGCTTCTCCAAAACACAAATCGTACTGAAAGTCAGAGACTTTAAGAGGAGCTGTGCTATGGTCGTGTTCCAGTCTTCCTTCCTAAGGAAAAACTTGCCGAAGTCCGAATATTGAAGTCTCAATATTCAATACCTCTCCACCTTTCGACCCGGCTGGCAAGTTCCCAAGCTGATATGGTGGATCCGGCAACTTCTTATTCCATATGCAGTAAAATCGACCGCCCCTCACACATTGCCGGCTCAATCCTAATCCCTGAACGGGATCGGCGAGCAAGGAGCCCTACTAGCTGGCCCTAAATTCCTTGAAGGGGGACTTTTTTGGGAATATACAGGGGAGTATAATGGGGATCGTTAAGGGGGATACTAGTGTCCCCTGCTCCTGGGGGGTCTCGATTCAATGAACAAATGGCCCCAAGCCCAAGAATTGAAAACCTCAATTGAGTAGTGTTTCATTTGGGGGGCCTCTTGTCCCCAAGACACAGTAAGATCATATTCTCCTTGTGGTTCTGGGTTTTTTTTATAAGAGGAGCATAATCTTACTTTGTGCAACCACCCGGAGCATGGTGGTCAATTCTTAACTCCCCAAACTCAACCTGGAGCAGCTGTCTAGGCCAACTTTGCCGTGACGATCGCCTTGGTGACCGCTTCTGCACTGGCGGCCACATCCTCAGAGTGTGGATGGCTTACTTGTGGTTAGTAAGGAAGGAAAGCCACAAGATTTGGGGACGATGTTTAAGGGATTGTACATGGGGATACTCCAGGATCCATTTCTGCACTTTCACAACCGCCGGCAAGACTATCCCCATTTCGAAGCTCTCAGAAGACTTAAAAAACTAGTGTGCTCGCAGGGAGCATTAGGGGATTGTAGACACACCGAGTAGGCATTTGTAGGTGAACAGTTGGACGTTATGGTTAATTGTCGTCCTCAGGGCCTTGAGTTTAACGATCAAACTTCGTGCGGTTAGCTGGGCACTTCTCAAGCTTGGTCTGCTCATATAGAAACAACCCCTTAAAAGTATGGGGCAAACGATCAGTGTCCATAAACAAGAGTATCAGGCTTTGTGTTTTTTAGGCTGGGCGGTGGTGTTTCAAATTCGTAGATATGTACATCTAGGAGAGAATATCATGAATTCCTCTCTGAAACCTGTCGGTCTTTCGTCAGAGGAGACAGCTCCCTGGATGTTGGAATTTCGGCCCAACAGATTTAAGTTAACTCGATTCTTTTGGCAATAGCTTCGAAGAAGTTGGTGAGGCGCTCATTGCCCTTGCTGCGTGCTCTAAGCCCCCTAGAGCCAGAGCTCGAAACCCTCTCCGAACCTCCCGAATATCTTGATAGGGATTATCTGGGGAGTATATAGGGGCTATATAGGGGGTTATATATAGGGATAATGTAAAAGAAAATGGCAAGTACTATACCGCACCCCTAAGCTATCAACTCCCACTACTTGAAGCCTTCAACTCGCCAGGCCATCTATGCCAGCGACACGAATCTTCGCATGCTTACCGTCGACGCGGAGCTCTCGCCCTCCCTGTTGCTTCAGCCTGAAGTGGAATCCGCTAGTGAAGTAGGTTTGTGGGCTTCCAGGCCTTTTAGCTGAAGGGTTCATACTGGCTTAGTATGTACCAGGCTTGCAGTTTACCCTTTCTCCCCCTTTGGAGTCCTGTGGTCTTCAGTTGTGGATGCAACATGTTAAAAGCGTCTCTATGGTGAAGGAATCATGGACGGCTGGAGTGTCAGAAGAGCACAGGTCAAGTTCAGGTGCTTAATCCTTGATATAGAGACTCTCTCAGATGCGACCTCATTTTTTTTTTGCCATGGTTTCTTTGGCCTTCAGGAAACAGCCTTCGGGCTTCAGGGTTCAGGTGCCAAGGGTTTGTGGAGTTTCACAGGCCTTGGCCCGTTGTTTGAGCAAGATTGTGCGAGCTTGATATTGCCCTCGTTTCTTTGCTAGTTTTCTTGGACGTGGCTACTTCAGGGCTTGTTTCCGCACTTTCTGGGGACATCCAGTGTGTCTTGTTGTTGACGTCCTTTGCTGCTGAGCTACGTCTGCGCCCTAAGCTTCCCGACTGAAACCCAACTCCCCGGAAAACTAAACCCAAACCCAGCCTGTGTAGCTTGGAGGGGTTCGTGTTGACTGGGAAGTGTTGAGGATGCTTCTCTTCAAGCTGCCGGCAACAATGGTTGTGACAGTTTTATGCAATCATGTTTCCCTCTGACTAAGCTTTCACCCCAACCCCACGACGTGCTCTCAACCCTCATAGCAACAAAACCTACACTTCAACCCTCTCACAGCCTGAGGATTCTTGCGGGTGGCGGCAAGCGCAACTGGATAGTGAACCCCATGGGTATCGAGAAGGACTTCCCGCCTCTTGGCCTTCCCTTTGAGTTTCCTGGATATGTGGATTTTGAAGTGTTTGTTGGGGGCTCATGCTGGTACACATTTAGATTACAGCCTGTTTGACATCGTTTTTGAAGCAGGGGCCCCATGTACCACCAAAAACTGAAATCAAGCAAGGGGATTACATTCAACTCCCGAGTTATGCAGGCTTGGCTTCTCATTTTTTGTGACCTGACGAAATTGAAATCACCTTTGCACTGGATCGTTTCTTAGTATCTGATGGCATGTCTTGATGATGTTTTGCTAGACGCCCATTCGAGTTGCTGACTAGCTAAGCTTGCGACAGAGCCTTAGGTTTTAGAATGCTGCTAACCTGAAGCCCACAGAGACTCGATTAGGGGAGGGAACGATGTCTTAGATTCGGATCGTGCATAGGCGAATCATTGGCAACTTTTCGGAGTCATATATTTTTCCCAGGAACCAATCCATCTTTTCCAACTTGCTTTTTCTCAGCATTTTCAGCAATCCTCAACCCGAAGTCCGAAAATCTGCATGCCAACCTGCTTGTTTGCCCAGAAGCCTGTGTAATCCTTCAAGCACCCACTGCTGACACTGAGCTTCACCAGCCCATGACCTGTAGCCCTTAAACCTGGATCATGTTATGTTCCTCTAGACTTTTAGTCTAGTTACCTAGTTTCTGCAAAGTATGCTTCAAGTCACTTCCTGAAGCTCATCCCCCAGACTACTGCCTGTGGCCTACGTTTGATGTAAGGTGCCCAAAGCCATAACCTCCCAAACCCAAGCCCTTAAACCTTCACTCCCTGGCCCAGAACTCCAAGTCCCTGAACCCCCCCAAAACTGTTAAATTCCCGAAGCTGAAACACAAAATGCTAAAACCCCAAGCCCCTCAGAATCCAAGAATGTGGGGCATCCCCTATGCGATCCTCCCGGCCATTGGCTTCGCAGTCCTGGGTTACCTCGACCAGACCCTGGCTGGCATAAGAGCTTGAGGGCTTTAGCTAGCTATAAGGCTTCCAAAAATTATTTCTAGAATTTGGCTATTATAATCTTAGTACCAACCAAAAACTATAGTTTTTAGTGGGGTCCTGAGGCCTGTTTAGCTAGTGGGGCGTGAGGATTAGGGGGTTTCAAGTTTCGGGCTTTGCGGTTTGGGGTGGCGAAGCCAAAGACTCATGTGTTACGTAATTTTCCTTTTCCGTGAATAGGAAGCTCCCGGAGGCGTCAGGTTTCCAAGGCATTGGAAAATGTGTGCAGAATATAGCGATCAACGCAAAGATATTTCCGAGTAGAAGTCTGTGTCCTGGCCTTCTGTAGGATGCAGGCAGGTATTGTGGCTCATATGGCGCAAGCAAACCGTAGATGTTTTTGCATTCTTACTCTCAATGAGAATGGGCACATTTCATGTCAGGCATAGGTGAAGTTTCCACTAGGCTTCTCCAAGAAAGAGTGCTTTTGAAGCATTCCTTATCGATAGGAAGACTCAACTTGACAGAAAAATGTGTGTAGCTGGCCACAATCAAGGGAGCTGCTCATGTCAGGAACCTCACCAGCGTCATCGTGAACCGGCCGTCCAACAACTTGCCCCTTGGCAAATCTCTCCCCACTGGCCATAGATAGGGGTTTTCAGTCATTGGGGACCATTGCAGGGCTTATAACAAGAAGTATACAATGTTTTTTAAGTGGATCCACGCTCTTGGAAATGCCCACATCTGCGGCTCCGCTGCTAATGAACATCCTCTGTTTAGGGGGTATGTTTGAGGAAGAGGTCGTGGGGGTTAAAGACCACTTGTTTGTGGCGTTTGAAAGAGATATCGGAGTTCAGCTTGACGGAGTTACGTGGGTGGAGTCCCTACTTGTTCTGCTTGTTTCTGCTGACAGGCCCAGTTTGTGTAGATTGTAGACAGAAATCTTCCTTTGATGAGATGCTAGGTTTCAGGCGTTGTATCGTTTCCAGTGCTACTTTGACTGCTACCATTGTTTCTACTTCTGCTTCTACGTCTACTTCTACTTTTTTCGCAGCTACTGCTACTTCTCCTGCTTCGACGCTTAAGCCGACAAGAAATTTGCCGAAGCAGGTGCAGAGTTCATCCAGCTAACTTGTTAGAGCTGGTGGGCCACTGCCTGCAGAATAGAAGCAAAGATCCTGACAGTGACGGGCTTGCTGAGATGGCTGAATGGCTCCCAACCTTTTGAGAGACATTCACTGTGGAATGCCTTGCGTGAGATTCATGAACGCTTTATAAGCTTCGGGGGGTTTGTCTATATATCTCAGCGGAATTTTTCAACAGATGGAACCATCGGTCTCTAAACGTGAGGTTGAACCGGCACAGAAGTTCGATTGTAATATGTTGGTCTCTCTCACTCAAAGCCGCCGCCAAAGCCAAACCTCACACCAAAGTCTCTTAGCTCCAGGCAGCGGAATGCTTATAGCCCTAGCTGAACCTTTCATACCAATCCCCGAATGTTGCTGGCCTCAATCCTTGAGGTTGCAAACGTCCAAAGCTTCCAAGGCAGAAGGGTCCTGGTTATCATCTTGACCTCTTCATTCGCGGCGCCCTGACGCTGCCAGCCTGCGCTGTGCTGCTCGACAAAGCTGTGGATCCTTTCTAGGGGTCCGGATGCTCTTCTCTGCAGGGTGGTAGAACGGGGGGAGCCTGGTTTCCAGAAACAGCTAGATGATGGTGGTGATGATGGTGTATCACCAGACTTGTGAAGAGCATAAGTCGTACCCGTGTCGGCAAGGCCCTTCGTTGATCGGGCACTCATGTGCATGTGATCTTGTGAACTTTTCGGTGGATTTTGGAGTGTCCGATCATGACCTCGTTGCCTACGACTTCGAGATCCGGATGCTTGCTCATGGCCAGTTTGGGCCTAAGCGTCGCCAACCTTTGGAGTTGGCTCAGGATGCAATTTTTGATTGTGACAGTGCACTGGAGATGGAGTTTCTTCAGGCTTTGGGTGAGGGAGATGTAGATCAGGCCTGGACCGTCCTTTCAAACTATGCTGAGGCTGTGTTGTGCGAACAGGGCGCGTTTGGTACTTCAGCAAGGTCGTCCTTTTGGCAACCTCGGAGTGCGGCTCGTAGCTCTAACGCTGCTTTCACTTCTGAGCCGATCCACCTTGTTCGGATGAGGCGTTTCCTTCGGCGGCTTCTTCAGCTTCGAAGGCAACCAGGGGATGAGAGGCTTCGTGCTAAGGTTCATCGTGATTTCCATTCTTTTCATGATGACCTTCAAGCTTTGCGTGAGGGTGGTGAGGTACAGTGGCCTGTACATGATGCGCCTGCAGAGGCTTTTCATGAGGTGGTTACTGCGATGGTGGCCTTGTGGGAGCGCCGGCTGTGTGCTCAGCGACTCGGTGAGTGGCGTCATCGCATGGCGGAGGATCCTAGTCGGCAGAGGGCTTGGGTCAAACGCTATGCTCAGACTCGTTCCCAGGAAAAGCGTCGTGCACGCAGTGGGCCTTCAGGTGAGGGGATCTGGACAACTGCCATCCATCCTGCCCTAGCGGTGGAGGAGCAGCAGCGTGAGTGGGTGGACTTTTGGAATCAGGACCCTGGGCTCGGCGTTGCTGATGAGTTTCAGGAGTTCCTGCGGCAGGTTCCAAATGATGTTGTGGAGGTGTCTTCCCTCGAGATCGCGGACGAGTTGCAGCGTGCCATGAGGGATACCTTGCGGCGGGCGCCTGGGCCCGACGATTGGAGGGCACAAGACCTTTTGCATCTCGGTGCACGGTGGTGGTCCTTGCTGGCGAAATTGTGGTGCAAAGTTCTCTCTTCAGGCCACATCCCTTGCAGGTGGGTTGAGGCCAAGATGGTCCTCATACCGAAGGACTCTGGTGGATGGCGACCTTTGGCTCTCACATCGGTTGTTTGGAGAGCGGGCGCCCGGGCGTTGCTCGCACGTTTGAAGCCTTGGCTCGAGAGTTGGGCAAGCCCTCATCTTTTTGGAGGACTGGCTGGCCGTGGAGTTGGCGATTGCCTGCTTCGCATCAATCACGCCGTGGAGCAGTGGGCTGAGTCTGGCATCTTCATCAGGCAGGATATTCATAGGTTTTTCGATTCCATCCGGCTGGAGCAGGCGGTGGCCATTCTTCGTCACCTGAAGGCGCCTGCCGTCGTACCGCGGCTGGTGGAGCAGTTTTACCAAGGCAACGTTCGGATGTTCTCCTCTGGCGCTTTTCACGGGTCGCAGTGGACTCAGGCAAGGCGCAGTATTCTGCAGGGTTGCCCCCTGTCCCCAATGCTGGCAGCAGCTGTGATGTTGCCTTGGGCATGTTCCCTGATGCGTCCTGGCCTTGGCCTAACAGCATTTGTGGATGACCGTGTGATTTGGGCTCAGAGCTCGGTGTCGGCACCTCAACTACGGCAAGCTCTTCTCACATCAGAGCGCTATGACAAGGTTTTTGGTCTCCGATGCAGGCCGGAAAAGTGTGGCATTGCGGCGCGTGATGTTGAGGCTGTCGTTAGCTTTGGCTTGAGGGACTTGCCTTATGAGTTCCACCATGAGTTGTGCATCCTCGGCCTGCGCTTTAATTTGCAGCAGCCTGTGGCGGCGAAGCTTGCCAAGTTTGACATGCAGCTGGTGCTCCTCCGCATCACCGCCATCTCTCGAGTGGTTGCGTTCTGGGAAGCGCGGCTCCGATTGCTGAGGAGTTTGGTTCTTCCCACCTTCACATGGGCTGCGGGCATTGGAGAGCTTGGTCATGCTGATCTCAAGCGCTTGCGCCATGCCATTGTGGGCTCCTTTGGCACCAGTCTTCCGCCAGACGTACCGTGGGGGCTTTTCTTTGAGCTCTTGGGCTGGGAGGTTGAGCCTTTCTTTGCTACTAAGGCCGCTCATTTCCGGGCTGCAGTTCGTTTCCACAGTGAGGACAAGCTGAGTCTCGAGGAAGCTCCTCTTGATTTCGTGCTCGGCAAGTGGTATGATCGCGTTCCATGTGCAAGCTCATCTGTGCGGGAGCTTGGATGGTGGATTTCAGCTGATGCAGATTTTGTGCAGCGGCGTGACCAGCATGGTACTGTTCGCTCCTACCAGCTTGGTTTTGACAATCCAAAATGCCTGGATGCGTGGCTGCGTGAGTATCGCAGGAAAGCCTCGTTGCAGGAATCGGTGCGTGTGGCGCGCTCCTTTAGGCGTGCTGATGATGTGGAGTACCCTGTGGCCCATGGTTTGATGCTGCCGCCTCCTCCGAGTGGTGTTCCTTGCTATCAGGGACATCGCCGTTGTTTTGGACGAGCAGGTGGAGATCGTGACCTTTTTCTTGCTTGCGTGGCAACTGGTTGCACGTGGCTGCTGCTCCAGTTGATCCCCAACCTTTGGATTTTGCCAGTCTGGTGGCGGCTCTTGAGGCGAAGCTTCTGGCAAGGCCTCCTTTCTTGCTGGTGGCTACCGATGGATCTGAGGTTGATGGCGTCGCTGCGTATGCCATCGCGCTTGGTGACGAGGCCTTCTCATCAGGGCTTCGCTGTGAGGACCAGTCGGCGTACCGCGCTGAGACTGAAGCTGGCTTTGTTGCTATTCAGGCTCTGGATGCTGCGGCCCGGCTTTCCGGAGTCAGGGAGGTGCCCATCGTGCTCGTCATGGATTGCACTGCGGCCATGGTCACGTTGCAAGGTGGTGGTTCCTGCAAGCTATTGGCGAGGCGAGGTTGCTGTGCTCTTCGGCGGCTTCGCTCGTGGGTCCGGTCCTTCGAACTCTTCTGGGTGCCATCGCATGGCAAGCAGAAATGTGGATGGCGACCTCATCCGTGGGTGTCTGAGGCTGCACTCCGTGGCATCAATGCTGATGCTGATACTGCGGCTGGGCTCAAGGTGCGTGCTCTCCTGAGGGGCAGCGCGCTGCAGGATTGGATGCTGGCTCGTGCTGAGGCTACCGCGTGGGAGGAGGCAGCAATTATGGCAGCGGCCTGCGCTGCTTTGATTGCCCGTGAGTGGTGGGGCTTGCCCCGCTAGCTGAGTGCTTTGAGAGCCGCTAGGGAACTGGCTTGCCCGGTTGCACCCTGCGTCTCGCTATCAAATTTCTCACTCCTGGTTATCATCTTGACCTCTTC